TGGCGACAAATTCTTTCAATTTCTGTTTGTTATGAAAAGTCTTTATTTCACCTTCATTCACAAATGATAGCTTTGCAGGATATAATATTCTGGGCTGGCAGTTGTTCTCTCTTAGTACCTGGGCTATATCTCGCCATTCCCTCCTAGCTTGTAGAGTTTCTGATGAGAAGTCAGCTGTGAGTCTGATTGGAGATCCTCTGAGAGTAATCTGACGTTTCTCTCTTGCACATTTTAGGATCTTTTCTTTATGTTTCACTGTGGAGAGTTTAATTACAACGTGTCGTGGTGAGGATCTCTTTTGGTCGTGTTTATTAGGGGTTCTGTGAGCTTCCTGTACCAGGATTTCTCTGTCCTTCTCCAAACCTGGGAAATTTTCTGCTAATATCTCACTAAAAAGGCCTTCTAATCCTTTCTCCCTCTCCATGCCTTCAGGAACTCCTAGAACCCGAATGTTGGGTTTTTTAATAGTATCCTGAAGATTCCCGACAATATGTTTTAGATTTCTAATTTCCTCGTCTTTTCTTTGGTTTGACTGTATCCTTTCCTGTTCTCTGTCTTCTAAGTCCGATATTCTCTCTTCTGCTTCTCCCATTCTGTTTGTAAGGCTCTCTATTGTGTTTTTCATTTGATCTATTGAATTCTTCACTTCAGTCACTATCCCAGTTTCCTGTTGTACTAGTTGTTTCGTTTCATTTTGATTCCTCCTTAATATTTCATTTTCACGAGAGAGATTTTCTATCTTGTCCATTAAGGATTTCTGTAGTTCAAGAATTTGTTTTTGAGAACTTCTTAATGTTCTTATCAATTTTTTGAGATCTGCTTCTTGCATTTCTTCTATGTCATCATCCTCATAATCTTGAATTGGGGTGTCTTTTTCAGTTGAGGGCTTCATGGTGACTTCCTTGTTTTTATTACCTTGGTTTTTGCGTTTGTTATTTGTCATATTGGAGATATTTGGTTTCTTCACTGTGGTGCTTTTTCTTGTTATACTATGACTCTAGATTAAGTGGACTATCTGTTTTTGATGGAGCCTTAGGGCTTGAGATGGGTGTGGCCTGAGAGCTCTGTTTGGTGTGCCAAAGGTGACACTCCCAGGTTAGGCGTGGTAAACCTCTCTCTCTCTCTCTCTCTCTCTTTTTGATTCAAAAGGGAAGTTATTCTGCACAGCTGAACGAAGTTGGAGGTAGTTAGCAGGCAAATGATATACCCGCAGGAGCCAGAGATCGGAAGCTCTTTCCCAAGGACCACACAGGGAATCTGTTCGGCCCTCGGAGTGGGCTCAAATTCTCCTTCAGTCTCCCACTGGGTTGCCAAAGTTACGGAATTGTAGCGTCTCTGGAGAGTGCTCACGTGAATTCTGTGAGATCTCTCCCCCACCGTCTCTTTTTTCACAGTCTCAGTTCAGTAGCACCACAAATTTACTAGGTCCTAATCTCCTGTTAATTCGCCCCGCCCAGAGTCAAGTTTTTCTGCTAGGCTCAGGGCCGGTGCAGACCTGAGGTCACTCTGCTTATGACGTATGTCCAAGATGGCGCCTGCTCTTTGTCTTGCTCGCCCTTGAGAGGTGAGCGGAGAGAGAGAAACCCGTGTCCGTACCAGTCACCTTTTTTTTTTTTTTTCCTCTCTCTCTCTTCCAGTTAGCTTGGTGAAGTCCCCCCCCCCCGGGGGGGGTCGTTCCCTCTAGTCTCCTCTCTCCGCTTGCCTGCCGGTGTCTCGGGTTATTGAGGTTCGGCTCACCTCGTGTTCCAGCGCTGGTGTGTTGAGTCTGCCGCTGGTGTCCCAAACTGTGGGCTCCCACGCTCTCCACGCAGGTCCGCTCCCCTTCCAGCGCCGATGTGTGGACTCGGAGCCCTGGACGTCCCAAGTCTCTCCGCTGTTGTCTGTGTGGCAAGCACTCCCCTTCAGGCATTTGCGCGAAAACACTGCAGTTTGCGCAGTTGGGCCCCGGGGGTTCGGTTTTCGGGGGTTGGTTTTTCGGGGGGGGGGGGGGACTTTGTTCCCCCCGGAGGGCCCTCCAATTCCTGGACCCCTGGACCCAAAAAAGTTTCCTCCGGCAAAATTTTTGGTGGGTTTTTTTTTCGGGGGCAACCGTAACTCCCCTTTTATTAAACTAAATTTTCCCGGAGTATCAGTGCGCGCCCTCACTATTCCGCCATCTTGGCTCCGCCCTCTCTGTTTAATGAAGCATAATATTCTAATCTACAGGTCATATTACACAAAACTCTGTGCACTACACTATATAGATACTTCAGGCATTAGTATTAATAATTATTTTTATTTTTTGACAGGCAGAGTTAGTGAGATAGAGAGAGAGACAGAGAGAAAGGTCTTCTTTTTCCGTTGGTTGACCCCCCAAGTGGCCACTACGGCCAGCGCTGAGCTGATCCAAAGCCAGGAGCCTATACTCTGGTTTCTCTTCAGATCGTATAAATCTTTCGCCTTTTACCAAAGCCAGGAGCCAGGTGCTTTCTCCTGGTCTCCCATGTGGATGCAGGGCCCAAGGACCTGGACCATCCTCCACTGCACTCTCAGGCCACAGCAGAGAGCTGTACTGGAAGAGGAGCAACCGAGACAGAATCCGGCGCCCTGATCGGGACTAGAACCCGGAGTGCCGGTGCAGCAGGCAGAGAATTAGCCTAGTGAGCCATAGCGCCGGCCATTATTAGTAATTATTAATTTCACAGTAGGCATTGATGTTATAAATGCCCAACTATATACAGAAGAAGAATTCTTTTGTATGGTTTCAATGCCAAGATAGTTTTTACTTGGAGACATGGCTGGTCACACTGTTACCAAAGATTTAAATAGTTTGTAAGTTATCTCTCACTAATCTTTTGTTGAAAGATAATATCTATGTCAAGTCCAAATCTGTCAGTCTTAAAGGGGATTGAACATTAGTTCTTTTTGATAATTTTATATGGGTCTATTTGTTAATTTCCTGAAAAAGATGCTGATCTCCTCAAACCTGATGGACAGTGTTTTTCATTGATAGAAGAACTTGCATATTTTTATTGTAAAAGACTTTTTTTATATGTCACATTTTTCTAAGAAGAAAATGTGCATTTTCTTTTTTTTTATTTAATGAGCATAAATTTCCAAAGTACAGCTTATGGATTACAATAGCTTCCTCCCCCCCATAACTTCCCTCCCACCCACAACGCTCCCCTCTCCCATTCCCTCTCCCCTTCCCCTTCACATCAAGATTAATTTTCAATTATCTTTATATACAGAAGATCAATTTAGCGTATATTAGGTAAAGATATACACATTTTGCTCCCACACAGAAACACAAAGTGTAAAATACTATTTGAGTACTAGTTATAGCATTAATTAAACACCTAAGAGTAATTTTGTATTAATTACAGAGTTCAACCAATAGTTTTAAGTAGAATATAAAATGCAACTTTTGTATTGTTGTGGCTTCCCCCCCCCAACCTCCCTCCCTCCCATGGCCCTCCCCTCTCCCACTCCCTCTCCCATCCTGCCCTTCATCACGTTTCATTTTCAATTACCTTCATATACTGAAGATCAACTTAGTATACACTAAGCAAGGATTTCAACAGGCTGCACTCACACAACTGCACAAGGTACAGGGTATTGTTCAACTAGTGGTGTTGTTTTTGAGTTTCATAGTTAAACACATTAAGGACAGAGATCCTACGTGGGGAGCATGAACCTAGTGACTCCCGTTGTTGATTTAACAATTGGCACTCTTATTTATGATGTCAGCAATCACTCGAGACTCTTGCTATGAGCTGTCTAGGCTATGGAAGCCCCTTGAGTTCACCAACTCTGAATTTGTTTAGTCAAGGCCGTATCACAGTGGAGGTTCCTTCCTCCCTTCAGAGAAAGGCACCTCTCTCCTTGATGGCCTGATCCTTCAGTGTTATGTTCAATCTTAAGTTCTCTGTAAGTACTGTGAAATTATCTATTTTATTTATATATTTATTTAACTATGGATTTCTAAAGACTAAGTATTGAAATTTTAAATACTCCATAATATAGAGTTGCAATAAGCTTTACATTCTAATAAAATTCATCATGGAAATATAAATGGAACTTTTGTTTCATGGTAAATCTTTCTTCTAAAGTCCTCAATGTCTCTCTGAATACTGCTAACTGTTAAAAAAGACATTCCTACCAAATTAATCAATATATTTTTTCAATTATCTTCATATATATACATATATATAATACAATGTCTCAAACCCCAGCATTAATTACAATATTCATTTGTTTTATGTACGAGGGCAATCATTGATATTCATACACCTCTGACCCCCCAAAAAATTCTAAATGCACTTACATCAGTCATATAACTGAGATTTAACCATAAATCATGTATACGATGCTTACAGAAGCTATAGTATCTTCTCCATTATACAGAAATAGCTTCAATTAATGGCAATCTGTCAGGAATTTCAACAAATTAAGAAACTCTAACAAAGAAATCATAATTTCTCCCTAATCATATTGTGAAAATTATTAATGATGTACACTCCATAGTATATCATGGTTATCAGTAATATTTCATAAACTGAAGGTATAAACCTTAAAAGAAAATTATGACAACATAATAGTGCTAGTTAATAAAATTTTTCAAGTGGTACATTTCATTAAAGAAATTACTTTCTTGGTAGACAAATTAGGTTGCCTACTGGTTTGATCAAGTTATGATTCATTAGTTAATTAAATAATTCATTAGATTGTGTTTTAGAAATTGTAATGAGTTTTATTCTGAAAATGGAAAACAAAAACAAGATAATTCAAAAAAGGTTGAACAAATTCATATTTAAAAATTAGAACTCTACAGATACATTTCCCAAATGAATTAACAAAAAAGATAGGATGAATAATTTTCAATATTATTTCACAAATAATCATATGGAGAAACAGTTGGTAGCCTTGCCTCCAAAACTGTCATCAATATTGTCTATAGCAGAAAGCTCAAATGAATATACTGCTAAAATATGCTCTTTTTAAAAACCTCGTTCACATACTTGCTTTTGCTTGTTTTTCACTTGGAGCTGTTAATGACAAGAAAGAATAAGTCTACATTAATTATAAGTCTACTTATCTCTTTCTAAATAATTTAAAGGTTATTTTAGTTGCTTAAAAGAATGTATAATCTTATAAACTAAATAAAAAATTGGTCTGATAAAAATTGGTATAATATTCTGCCATTTCATCTGGAGTAATCTAAATACATTCCAAGAACTCCACATTTTGTTGTTCTTTTGCTTGATATACATGCACCTTCTTCCAACATTTTGTTTTTCCATTTAATTAATTATAGATATGACATGTTATAGACAAGGCAATATATTTTTCTCAAAGTATATAAAATAGTAAGAAAAACATAATTAATGTCATTGGTCACCCAATGGTTTCAATTTTAAAAACACAGAGGTGAGGGACAGAGTTGTGACATAGTGGATTAAGTTGTAATTTGCGATGCCTGCCTACAGTCCCATATCAGGGCTCTGGTTTATACCCCAGATGCTCAGCTACCAACCCAGCTCTGTGTTAATAAGTCTATAAAAGCAGTGGAAAATGGCCCAAGTACTTGGGTCCCTGACACCCATGTGGGAGATGTGGATGCAGTTTCTGGCTCCTGGGATTGGCCTTATCCAGTACTGGCCATTGCAACCATTTTGAGGAGTGAACCAGCTGATAGAAGTTTGAGCTCTACCTGTATCTCTCTCCCCTCTCCTTCTCATTTGCTCACTCTCTCGCCCCACCTCTCAAATAAATAAAATAAGTCTCTAAAATAATAAAATAAAATACTGGGACAGGCATTTGATCAGTGGTTAAAATGTCTGCATCCCATATTGAAGTGCCTGGCTTCCATTTTCAGCTCTATTTCTAACTTGTATTTCCTGTTATTGCACACCTTGGAAGACAGCAGGTGATAGCTAAAGTATTTGGGTCCCAGTCAACACGTGGAAGACCCAGACGAAATTCCAAGCTCCTGGCTTCAGCCTGACCCAGTCCTAGCTGTTATAGACATTTCAAAGATAAACCAGCAGATGAAGGATCTCTTTCCATCACTCTGCCTTTGGAGTAAATAAATTAAAAAGAAAAAATTCAGCTAATTATTGCAAAATTTCTACACTGAAACCACATCCTTAAGTGAACAGAAAACTAAGTAGCAATTTATTCTATTTTGTCATGTTCTATATTAAAGTCATTTTACCCATAAAAATGGGCTATACTAATAATCATGCTGCATTTCTCTCCATATTTCTGTCATATATGCTCTATTTTAACATTCTCATATGTGTGTGAGAAAAAGGTATGACTCCTTGTGGGAATGTGCTCCTGAGCAAAGAGGCTGTTCTTTGCAAAGCAGGTGAAACATGACTTCCCAAAGGTGAACTGGCAGGACTGTTAATGTGACGTGTGTGTTGATTCTTTTCTGTAAATTACTAATGAAAACTCATTCAGATTTCAAATTTTTAAAAGTATGATTACTTCATTCAATGTTTCTCCTTTGACCTGATAAATCATTTTCTGTTTGGCAGAATAATAGGCAGTTACAGGGTAAACATAGAAGAGGCCCAGTCCTCTAACTTCTGATGATTGACAATGATTGTAATGGTACATTAAAGTGTTATAAAGGTAAGGAAATGATGCTGTGGGAACTAATTGGAGAAACACCTGAAAAGGTTTGGATTGCCTCAGCATATTTCACAAGTTTGGAAGAAGAATAAAAATATGGCATCGAACTTGGATTTGGTATGGTTTGTGGAAGAATTGAGACTAAAACTATATTTTCATGGTCATTTACATAATATTAATTAATGCTGTTTCTATTTAACTACAATGAAATAGGAGGAATAATTAATGAATAACATAGGAGGCTATGACTGCTTATATACATACCTACAACATAACCAAAAATATAAACGAAATTCCTTTAGTAGCATAAGCCAGAAAAAAAAATCAACAGATGGTGCCTTAAAATGAATCAGCAGAAAAGTCTCAAAAATTGTCATTTGAAATGACAAATAGGGCAGACTAAATACTAGGAAGTTTTAAGAAAGCCACTTCATACCCAAACCAATTGTATCATTTATCATTTTTGCTGATTGACTTATTTGGTTGATCCAATTCGATTTTCTCCTTTAGAATATAAATATATTCAGAGGAAAAGTCTACGCCTACTTTCATAGCAACTCTCTGGAGTAATCAAAAAATATTATTAAGAACATTATGAATAGTAAGAGAATATTTTGTTGCTATTTGAATATTTAACATTTCAAAGCCAAGATATATAAGATACACTTGCAGAAGGTGTTTTGTTCTAGATTTGTTTTCTTTCTGCCTGTTTTTTGTATTAAACTGAAACAATGTTTCTCAAACACCTCACAGATGAATCCACTGGGAGCATCTTATGAAGCTGCAAATCAGATTCAGTGGTTCTGGATAGACACCAAGGTTCTGCTCTTCTAACAACCTCTCTCTGACCCTGCAGCTGCTATTCACAGAGTACACATTAAGTAACTAGTGTATAGCATATTATTTGGATTTCACTCTCTAAAATTGCATTGTGTTAAATCTCTGTCAATAACTTGGGGGGAAAATGATAGATGCAAGTATTTCCTTCCCTGTACTGTCATTGATCTTGCCACTTGTCTGAGACTGTTTCACTAATAAACACTGAACAGCAGGTGGAAAGAGTCCAAAAGTGTCAACCCCACTTACCCGCATGCTCCTTCTTTGTTGATTTTGCTGTTACAATCAACAAAAGAAACAATATTAGCATTACATGCCACCCAAATTGTAATCCAGGATTCAATTGCAAATTAAACAATGCAATGAAATTAAATGGATAGAGAAACTTTAAAAATTACCTGGTTCTTCATGTTTTTCCTTTTTTTCCTGTTCTGAAACATATTATTGTTTTCTTACTATTATTGTTATTACTGTTATTCCAATTTCACATGTCACACCACAACTGATTTAAAATTGAAAACCCTGCACATGCTGATGCTGGATTGCAGGAATTCATAGGTGTCATAAAAAGACGAAGATGTAGACTTAACATAATTCTTCCCATCCATTTCCATTAGGAGTTCCCTCCTGGAGAAGCATCAAAGAACTCTGAATATTAGAGAAATTCAAAACTTTCATGGATATTAAACTAGAAAAACAAACAGTGGATGGATATTTTCCATAAACTATGGGAAAATATAAATTTTCTATTATATTAAATCGACAGGAAGTAAATATGGGATTAATAGGCACAAGCATAATTATTGCAGCTGTTAACAAAATAATTCTCAGAATGACAAACATGGAGAATTCCACATGGACTTCTCTTCCAAGATCTCTTCTCATCTTGAAAATGCTTTTACCAAGCTAGGCAAAGGCATAGCTGAGATAGTTTCAGGACTCTTAAAAATGAGTAAGGCAAAGAGGGAAACACAACACACTTGGGTTGTTTTCAAGACAAATGCTCTTTGTGGCATCCTCTTTAAATAGTGTTTCTTTTAAGGAACACGTTTTTATCAAAAATCTATGAGACAAAATATGGTTTTGGTTTTAAGATTAAGCTGGCTTTTACATTACAATAAGAACTCATTTTACATGAATTTCAGTCGCTAATTTTAGGAATATTGAATGCCAAATAATCTTCTGTATCATCACATCAATTTATCAAGTATACAATTTCATTCATCAGGTTGATAATTATGTAGGAATAATGAGGAAGTTAGCCACTTCTAAGATAGCAAGCAGATAATGAAACAAATGATTTGACCAAGTGGTACAGTTCAACAGGAAAATGTTTTATGTAATTTAGCTTAAATTCAGCATAGTAAGAACATTACCAAACATTGTCTTACAAGCAAGGACTGAGGTGAATGTATTTATTTCACCATTAAACTGAAACTCCAGTTACAGAATATTTCTAAGAACTTTGTAATGACAGAAAATACTGGAAGCAAATTTAGGTATGCTTTAACTTTGAACACTACTAATAGGTGAGATTCAATCTTATCAGAAAGCCATCAGATGAGTATATATCTGCGCTAATTTGGAAAAAGAGTACACTCTAAAGAATGTTCATTAAATGGGACAATTTGGGGCCGGCACTGTGGCTCACTTGGTTAATCCTCCGCCTGCGGCACTGGCTTACCATATGGGCACCAGCTTCTAGAACCGGTTGCTCCTCTTCCAGTCCAGCTCTCTGCTGGGGCCTGGGAACGCAATGGAGGATGGCCCAAGTGCTTGGGCCCCTGCACCCGCATGGGAGACCAGGAAGAGGCACCTGGCTCCTGGCTTTGGATCTGCGCAGCGCTGGCCGTAGCAGCCATTTGTGGGGTGAACCAATGGAAGGATGACCTTTCTCTCTGTCTCTCTCTCTCTCACTGTCTAACTCTATCTGTCAAATAAATAAAAAAAGGGATAATTTGATAATTTAATATGTAGTTACTGATCTTATAAACATAAGTGAATTTAGCCTTCTTCAAGGCTGACAATATATGGTTTTCAGGTATTCTTTTTACTTGTTATTTTGAAATAATTATAAAATTCACAAATTTACAAAATGTGCAGGAAGGTTCCCATGCATTTTTCAACCTGTTTCCCTTGTCATAGTGCATTTTTTAAATTGAAAAAGGAAAACTTTGAGTAGTAAAAATTGTAAAAGCAGAAGCAAATTAAAATACATGGTGTGATATATAATTAAATGTAGCAATCTTGAAGACAAAAATTTTAAATTAAACAAATTTAAAGACACAAAAATAATGATAATAAAAACAATTCTAGATGGTAACCCAGATAACTCATCTTAATTTAAAATAATCATTATTTTACAGAAAAGTATTTTTCTATTACTGTCCAAGTTACAATTCACAGACCTTCTCAATGAGAAGCTGGGTTGCAAATGAATGTCTCAGAAGGCATGTTATTTATTACAAACATCAGTGTGCTAAAGATTGTCAGGGAAGTCCACTGTCCCTGCTGGAACTTTTAAACCACATAGTCTACAATAAAGTGAAGGCCTTAGGGTATAAATGTAATATTTTTCAAATCTCCAGTGGTCCAGCATTTTCCTACTGGTGAAATGGTTTATGAAATGGTTTCTGTATCCTTGTGCCAGTACTCATCAGTAACCATATACAGACATAACTCTGATTGAACCAACAGATACTTCTTTATAGATAGATTGCTCCCCCTGGCTGAGTTGTAGCATAATTTCATGATCGTCTCCACAGGATACTTCAGAGCATTTGTATGACATGAAATATCTCTGCATCCCAACTTTTTGCAATGCTAAAACATACATAAATATTTTTACAAAACGAGGGCATTTTAAAATAAATTTTTTACGATCACTGAAATCTTCAAAGCCTCACATTCCTGGAAATATGCTTATTTTTAATTACTGATTGAGTAAAGGTAAGTTGTTTTGTGTTTTCATTTGTTAAATGTATCCTATTTTCTGCAAAGGAGAGTGTGTGTTTGCAGAAGACAAAGCCTGAAGGCATTGGGTTTTATTGAATTGTTAACAAACAGGTTCTATAGTGTATTAAAGTGAAATGTTGCCTAATATATGGACCCCAAGTAACCAAAGAGGAAAATAATGTTGTGGACAAATGCCATATATCTTGTAAACATGACAAAATATTTCTGGATTAAAAGAAGAAAGATAATCAGACAGTGTTGGTAAAAATTGCCTGGAAAAGGACTTCTATTCAGTCTTCTTTGTGAACGGAAAATTAACAAGGTTTAAATGTACACAAACATTAGACAGTTTGCATTAATACAGTGGAGTTGTATTTTCCCTCCTAGACTATGGAGAGTATTATTAGGTGGTTACAGGAGTTTGAAAAAAATGTTTCTAAGAAACCGTGGTATGATTTCAAGTCTACTCTGACCCTCCATGTTGGTATTTCTTATTCTGATGAAAATAAATTAGTATACATGCATAAAACTCAGAACAGGGCAATTTAAAAGTACAAGTCTAAACACACCAGCTGGCAATATTAGTACTATGAAAAAATGTGCACAAATTAATTTCACATGCATTTTCTTACTTTTTCCCTTGGGCTGTTCTGTTGAAAAAGATACAGAAACAAAAACATTACTCTTAAAATCTTTAAAGATAAAATTAATTACCTAAATCATTGATTAGACTGTATTTTTTTTTTCCAAACTCGCTTCCTCAACTTCTCCCTTTAAGTTTCACAGGGAATGTTGTTCTGAGGTATTGCTAACTATCATGGGTGTTTCATTAATTTGATTGAAAAAAAAAACACAGTTTGGTGATGAATAAACCTAGGTTTACATTGGTTAACCATTTAAACAATTTCAACTGGTAGTTTTCTTAAATAAACAGGTGAGAACAGATAAATGTATCATTCACATAAATACATGTGAGCAAGTCTAGATACAGAAGTGTACTTTCCAAATGAATTATTATTTCCATTAAAGACTTACAGAACCAATTCAGTTCCTGAAACTCACTGATGTACCCAAAATTAACTTAATGTATGCTTTCTAGAAAACTGAATGCTTCCTACTGGACATTGTTCAATTTCTTGTGAAGCAAACATTTCTCTGAAAACAATTACTGTGGAAGTTAAATAGATGCAGTAATTGTTTTCTATTACTACCAAATATTTCTCAGAACAATTTTGTCAAAAAATAATTTGACTCTTTAACTTTTTCTCTCTCTCTGAATCTCAGCCTTTCTCATTTTTTTTCTCTAGCCCGTATCTGGTCTTTACTTCTATGTTGATCTTTTAGGAAAAAATGCTATTTAACTGTTTATCAACTTTAATACAGAAGAAAAGATTATTTCCAGTACCTTCTGCAGGTTTTTTTGCTTTCTTGGAATCTGCAAACACAAAGGTAAATTATTGTTTAAAAAGATATAAAAAAGTATGTGAGTGAAATTGACATTTGATTATTGTTTGCAGCCCTTCTGAGAAACATTTGTTTACATACTACTTTTTGAGTTCTTAATTTACTAGAGGGTTGATCTTGTGATTATAAAGTAAACTGAAAGTATGTCGTTGTAAAAATTGAAATAAAAATAGCAAAGGAAGGAGGAAGTAGTGAGAGTTAAGGAGGGAGGTAAAAGGGAAGTAACAATGTGCTCTTAAAACTCTCTATACATATGAAATACAATGAAATTTGTCCCTTTATGTAAATTAAAAATAAATGCAATTTTAAAAAGATATGATAGAAAAGCAACTTATTTTCTTGCAACAAAATTTCCATGAACATTGAAATAATCTTCAAAAGATGGATTGACTCCATTTTATTTTCTAAAAGACAAGGGTTAAAGAGAAGCCATTCTGTTTTTGAGAGGACGAATATTAGAATGGGGCAGGTGGTGATGAACTTTTGTTGATGTACAAAACACGAAAAAATATGAAAAAGATCACATGTAATCTGCAGATAAACCTCAATGTGCCTATAATCATTAATAAAAACTCGGCTGAGAAAATATATCATCTGTTTTCATAAATATGGGTTGTAGTCCATGAAGCTAGCTTGCAGTATCTGAGTTTGTTCAATCTAAGTCATGCCAGTTGAACTTCATTATGATCTCTTTGAATAATAATAACTATTTCCATTATAACGAAGAAGAAATAGGTTGGTGTTGGTTCACGGGTTACTGACAAACATAATATTATGTTAATAACTGCTATGTAATAATGTGTATTCAGTGGTAAACAGACATCTATTTTTAATATTTTCAGCCTGTATATGAGCAATGTTTACTATTTTCCATTATTCAGCAGTGAAACTTTCTGTTCTTATTATTAAAAAAAAGCAAAGGGCTTAGGATACCATTTGTTTTAGGAAAGGCATATATTTTGCCTCTTCAATAAGTTAATTTTAAAATTCGCTATTATTCAATTTAGAACCATAATTATGAATTATGAATTGATACTTGCAAAATAATTTTCTGACCTATAATTATCTACTTTAGAACCTTGAATAATAGATAGTCACTAATAATTTGTATGACTTATAGCAATATGATATTATCGAAACTTTATGACAGGGGCTAGCACTGTGGTGTGGTAGGCTAAGCCTCATCTGGGGTGCCAGCATCCCATATAGGTGTTGGTTCATGTTTTGCTACTCCTCTTCTGATCCAGGTTTCTGCTTATGGCCTGGGGGTGGGGGGTGGAGGATAGTGGAGTTGGTCCAAGTGCTTGTGCCCTTGCACCCACATTGGAGACCCAGAGGAAGCTTTTGGATCCTGGCTTCATATCAGCCCAGCCATCTGAGGCGAGAACAAGCAGATGGAAAACCTTTCTCTCTGTCTCTGTCTCTCTGTCTCTCTCTCTTTCTAGCTCTGCCTCTCAAATAAATAAAAAAAAAACAAACAAAAAAATCTTTATGATGAATACATCTGAAATGGGTGAAGGGCATAGTGTGTATTCAGAAAAGGCTGTTAGAGGATCAAGAAAGGCATTTCATGAAAAAAAAAATGATAACCAATGATGGTAACAATGGTAACAGCAACAATTCAATCCTATTTAAGTATAAACTCGAACTACATTTTAGAAAAAGCACATATGGTATTTGTCCCTTTGAGACTGGCTTATTTCGCTACGCATAATGTTTTCCAGATTCCTCCATTTTGTTGCAAATGACCGGATTTCATTGTGTTTTTTACTGCTGTATAGTATTCTATAGAGTACATACCCCATAATTTCTTTATCCAGTCTACTGTTGATGGGCGTTTAGGTTGATTCCAGGTCTTAGCTATTGTGAATTGAACTGCAATAAACATTAAGGTGTAGACAGCTTTTTTGTTTGCCAATATAATTTCCTTTGGGTAAATTCCAAGGAGTGGGATGGCTGGGTTGTATGGTAGGGTTATATTCAGGTTTCTGAGGAATCTCCAAAGTGTCTTCCATAGTGGCTTTGCCAGTTTGCATTCCCACCAACAGTGGGTTAGGTCCCTTTTTCCCCACATCCACACCAACATCTGTTGTTGGTAGATTTCTGAATGTGAGCCATTCTAACCGGTGTGAGGTGAAACCTCATTGTGGTTTTGATTTGCATTTCCCTGATTGCTAGTGATCTTGAACATTTTTTCATGTGCCTGTTGGCCATTTGGATTTCCTCTTCTGAAAAATGTCTGCTGAGGTCCTTGGACCATCTCTTAAGTGGGTTGTTTGTTTTGTTGTTTTGAGTTTCTTGATCTTATTGTAGATTCTGGTTATTAATCCATTATCTGTTGCATAGTTTGCAAATATTTTTTCCATTTTTGTGTAAGGTGAAAGGTAGGGGTCTTGCTTCATGCTTCTGCACGTGGAAATCCAGTTTTCCCAGCACCATTTATTGAATACACTGTCCTTGCTCCAGGAATTGGTTTTAGACCCTTGATCAAATATAAGTTGGCTGTAAATGTTTGGATTGATTTCTGGTGTTTCTATTCTGTTCCATTGGTCTATCCATCTGTTTCTGTAACAGCACCATGCTGTTTTGATTATAACTGCCCTGTAGCATGTCCTGAAACCTGGTATTGTGATGCCTCCGGCATTGCTTTTGTTGTACAAGATTGCTTTAGCTATTCAAGATCTCCTGTGCCTCCCTCCATATGAATTTCAGCATCATTTTTTCCAGATATGAGCAGAGATTCTTTGGTATTTTGATTGATATCACATTAAATTTATAAATTGCTTTTGAGAGAATGGACATTTTGATAATATTGCCTCTCAGCCCTTAAGGCATTCGGATCAGGCTGAAAAGCCCTTGAGAGTATTTCAGGCATGGAAAACCAAGACACTCTGGCAAAAAAAAAAAAATGACCTAAATGAAAGATCTCTGTGAGTGAGATACCAGTAGAAAGAACAGGCCATCAAAGACGGAGGTAACTTTCTCTGAAGGGAGGAGAGAACTTCCACTTTGACTATGACCTTGTCTAAATAAGTTCAGAGTCAGTGAACTCAGGGGGCTTCCATAGCCTTGGCAGCTCATGACAAGAGCCTAGGGTGATCACTGATGCCATAAACAAGAGTATCAATTTGTTAAGTCAACAACAGGAGTCACTGTGCACTTACTCCTCATGTAGGATCTCTATCCTTAATGTGTTGTTCAATGTGATTTAATGCTATAACTAGCACTCAAACAGTATTTTTGATTTTGTGTTTCTGTGTGGGTGCAAACTGTTGAAATCTTTACTTAATATATACTAAATTGATCTTCTTATATAAAGAGAATTGAAAATGAATTGATGTTAATGAAAGGGGAGAGGAAGTGGAAGAGGGGAGGGTTGTGGGTGGGAGGGAAGTGGGAGGGTAGGGGGGAGCCATTGTAATCCATAAGCTGTACTTTGGAAATTTATATTCATTAAATAAAAGTTTAAAAAAGATAATATTGATTCTTCCAATCCATGAGCATAGAAGATTTTTCCATGTTTTGGTATCCTCTTCTATTTCTTTCTTTAAGGTTTTGTAATTCTCATCATAGAGATCTTTGACGCCTTGGTTAAGATTATTCCAAGATATTTGATTGTTTTTGTAGCTGTTGTGAATGGGATTGATCTTAGAAGTTCTTTCTCAGCTGTGGCATTGCCTGTGTATACAAAGGCTGTTTTTTTTTTTGTTTGTTTGTTTTGTTTTGTTTTTTGTGCAGTGGTTTTACATTCTGCTACATTTCCAAACTCTTCTATGAGTTCCAATAGTCTCTTAATAGAGTTCTTTGGATCCCCTAAATAAAGAATCATATCATCTGCGAAGAAGGATACTTTGACTTCTTCCTTCCCAATTCATATCCCTTTCATTTCTTTTTCTTGCCTGATGGCTCTGGCTAACACTTCCAGAACTATATTGAATAGCAGTGGTAAGAGTGGCATCCCTGTCTAGTACCAGATCTCAGTGGAAATGCTTCCAACTTTTCCCTATTATGTAGGATGTTGGCCGTGGGTATTTCATAAATTGCTTTGATTGTAATGAGGAATGTTCCTTCTATACCCAATTTGCCTAGAGATTTCATCAGAAATGGGTTTTATTTTATCGAATGCTTCTCTGTATCTATTCATTTAATCATATGGATTTTCTTCTGCAGTTTGTTAATGTGGTGTATCACATGGATTGATTTGCGAACACTGAACCATCCCTGCATACCAGGGATAAATCCCACTTGGTCTGGGTGGATGATCTTTCTGATGTGTTGTTGAAATCTATTGGCCAGAATTTTATTGACGATTTTTGCATCTATGTTCATCAGGGATATTGGTCTATAATTTTCTTTCAATACTGCATCTTTTTCAGGCTTAGGGATTAAGGAGATGCTGGCTTAATAGAAAGAATTTGGGAGGATTCCCTTTTTTTTTTTATTTTTCTGAATAGTTGGAGAAGAATTGGAGTTAGTTCTCTTTAAATGTCTGGTGGTATTCAGCAGTGAATCCATCCAGTCCTGGGCTTTTTTTGTTGTTGTTGGAAGGGCCTTTAATACTGATTCAATTTCTATAACAGTCATGGGTCTGTTTAGGTTTTCTATGTCTTCATGGTTCAATTTAGGTAGGTTGTATGTGTCCAGGAATCTATCCATTTCTGATAGATTTCCCAGTTTGCTGGTATACAAGTCCTTGTAGTAATTTCTGATGATTCTTTTTATTTCTGTGGTGTCTGTTGTTACATTTCCTTTTTCATCTCTGATTTTATTGATTTGCATCTTTTCTTTTTTTAGTTAGTTGGGCTAATGGTGTGTCAATTTTGTTTATTTTTCAAAAAAAAAAAACAGCTCTTCATTTGGCTGATCTTTTGTAATGCTTTTTCAGATTCAATCCTGTTGATTTCTTCTCTGATTTTAATTATTTCTCTTCTCCTACTAGTTTTGGATCTGGTTTGCTGCAGTTTTTCTAGA